ATAGATAGATAGATAGATAGATAGATAGATAGATAGATAGATAGATAGATAGATAGATAGATAGATAGATAAACTTAGGACTGACATATCAACGTTTTAAAATTAAATTTAAACCGAGTTCCCTGCATGAGGCCAGCAACATCAGATGGACGACAACTATAGTTAATTTTTTAGAATAAAATTAAATAAATAGATCAACAACTAAAGACTCGTTATAATCAGTTTGCTGCTATGAAAAATACTAAGACTGATTCAACAGCAATGACAGCAGACAGAGGAGCTAGTATGATGCCAATTATTGTTGGAAGGATTATAAGGTCGTTTCCATCTGAAGTCCGTCGTCCTACAAAGAGAGACATTATTCCCAAGAGGAAAAATCTCAGAGGGCTGCCAATATTTTCAGTAGTGGACGCTCAGTGGATTAAGACAGGAGCGTGAAGCTCAGAGAAATGAGCACAAACCCAAGAGCTCCATCTCAGACTCAGCAGGTCTCATTTAGCAGGTTAAAGGTTAGAGGTCACGACACTGAGCAGGTCTGGCTCTATGGAAAGGTCAAAGGAGAGATTGTCCTGTCTCTAAAACAAGATGGCAGCAGGACAGGTTAGAGCACAGTGGAGATGTTATCAGGACACACACAGCTCCATGTTTAAAGAAACTCAAACACAGTGGAGGAGAAAACTAAGAGTCAAGCATGCAGCAGTGGAGGGCTGATGATATGGACCCCACAACCTTTGAACCTTGGAGAGTCACTGAGTGGACCAGTACTGGAACGCCCAATGTTGCTGATCCAACTGGCTCACTGACAGGAGAATGATACCAAATTCTGCAGCAATCAGTTCAGCTCTGGTTCTAAAAGCAGGGGCGGATTTAGAAAATTTAGGGCCCTAGGTAAAGGCAGGCAGGGGGCCCTCTGAATTGAGAAGACAACACATAAAACAGACCCATTATACAGATTTTTTTTTATAGAATAGCTATACGTCATTCATTTTGTTGCTCTCTTCTTATCCCCTTCTCTTGGTGTTTTCCACTCTATGTTTTCTATTGTCCCTGTTTCTTTTCATATTGGCAACTTTAAAGCTGTCTCAAAAGGAATAAAGGATTTTCCATTGACTAAGCCCATTCTAACAGCTGATTGCTCCTTCCTGTGTTTCCAAAAAGGC